CACGCCCCGGCGTCGCGCGCGCGGCCCGCGCCATGAAGCACATCCCCGTGCTCGAGGACGGGCCGTGGAAGACCGTGTGCGTGAAAGAGCTGAACGGCCTCAAAAAACTCAAGCGAAAAGGCAAGGAGCCGGCGCGGCGCGCGAACGGCTATAAAACTTTCCGATTGGACTTGGAAACCCCCGAGCCCGGCGCCACCGCCACCGACGGGCTGCGGGATAGGACTCCACGGCTGCAGCCCGTCCCGATCCTCGCCTCGCTCCCAGCCCCGGTGGCGCCAGCCGCTCTTCCCGGTCGGGGCGCGGATACGCCCGGGGAGCGCCGGGGCGCCCGAGTGCCCGAGGTCTCGGACGCACGGAAGCACGGTTTTGCCCTGGGCACCGTGGGACCCGGGCTCCCCACGCCGCCGCCGCCGCCGCCTCCAGCGCCGCAGGGCTCGGCACCCGGAGGTCCCGAGGCTCAGCCTTTCCGCGATCCCGGCCCGCGTCCCCGCATCTTGCTGTGCGCACCACCCGCGCGCCCCGTGCAGTCCGCGCCTCCCGCACCCCCGGCACCCCCGGAATCCTCCGTGCGCCCCGCGCCCCCCACGCGCCCGGGGGAAAGTTCCTACTCCCCAATTTCACACGTCATTTACAATAACCACCCGGATTCTTCGGCGTCGCCTAGGAAACGGCCGGGCGAAGCGACCGCCGCCTCCTCGGAGATCAAAGCCCTGCAGCAGACCCGGAGGCTCCTGGCGAACGCCAGGGAGCGGACGCGGGTGCACACCATCAGTGCCGCCTTCGAGGCGCTCAGGAAGCAGGTACCCACGCTCCGCCGCGCGCTCGCGCGGGGCGCGGGGAGGGGCGCCGGAGCGCGGGGGGGGACGAGGGGTCCGTGCGCACAGGCCAGCGGGCTCCCCCCCCCGCATCCCCCGCACCGTCCCGAGACCCTCGCGGGCTTGGGCGATGAGCGTTGGCGTGGATCTTGAAGTTTGAAAAGTGGGGCGATTACTGGAGATCGCTGGCCTGGCCAGATCTGTCTTCGCTTCTGAGCCCGCATGGGTCGCTCGGGCGGGCGCGCTTAGAGAGCAGGGAGGGGAGCTCTGGGCATCGGCATGGTTAAGGGGCTCGGCGCCTAATGGAGTGGTCCTGAGGCCCAGAACCCTGTGGAGTGGTGGCTGGGGGGGTTGTTAGCTCCTCTTCGACCCCCAGATTCTAGTAGGGAGCCCCTGTACGTCCAGCTCGCTGCTAGACTTTGCGCCGCCGCCTCTCTCCCCGGCGTTCTAAAGGACCGGGCTACAAGCCCGCGCTCCTCCCTAGGGGCGGCTTCAGGAACTGGCCCGTGGGAACCTCCCCCGGAGACCTCGCCCGCAGCTGCCCTTCCTCTCCTGGCAAGCAGGCACCTCTGCTCCAGAGGTGGGTCTTGTGTGTCCCTGGGAAGGGCTCTTCTGCGGGTCTTCAGAGCCCACCTCTGAGCTTCAGTACAGGGTTAGTTGGGGGCAGGCTGACCTCACCAGACAGTGCCTCTTCTGCAAAGGCGAAAGAAACTTCACAGTGGAATTGCCCAGGATGGAGGACCCTTACCACTTCCACTTTAGACAAGGTTGGAGTGGTCCTAAGAGCAGACCTCTCTCTTTTTCTTAGAAGATCTAGAAGGGGGCTGCTGAGGGCCCTCCCTCCAGATCGTGGGAAGAGTGGGTGGTGGATAGAGCTAGTTTTGATGGATGAGTTTTCTTTTGCTTACTCTGCATCTGATTAGCTGTTTGTCTCCAGGAAAGTTACTCAACCTCTCTGGGCTTTAGCCAACTACAACACGTTTCAGAAAACATGGTCTTTTGGATTGTATAGTTTCTTCCTCCCCATGTGGGTAGGGTGTGTGTGGGGGGGGGGTGATAGTGCCTTCATCCATCTATGGGCACGTAATTGAGCCCTATGGCTTTTGAGCCCAAGTGCCTAGCTTGAGTTTGGGAGAGATGTCTGGTCATTGAGGTGGGGGTTAAGTAGCTGTCACAGACCAAGCTGGGCCACTGCCAGCATCAGGGATCTTGATGGGTGGGCTTAGTAGAGTGTCCATTCCACCGTGGGCTAGAAACTCTGTGCTGTCTGTCTGGGTAGGGGCAGCTGCTCATAGAGCATCCCACAGTTCACTCCCCAGGACAGAAAGATGACAGAGGGCAAGAAGATGCCTGGCCACTGCTCACCTTGCAACTAGGAAAGCCTCCCACTGGCTCAGCGAGGCCACGTGCCTAGAGTAAAACCGCTGGCGAGAAATAGGGTCTCAGACTATAGCTCAGCATCCTTTCCGAGCCTTCAGCTGCCCCTGTCAGTTCTCTGTGTGAGTGACTATTGGTGCCGCATCTCATTTGCTCCATAGCGTTTATATCTTTCCACAAGAGATTCCACCCTGTTTGATTTCAACGATGTCGCGGTCAGGATTGGATTTACCCATGTTACGGAATGGAAAATTGGGGCCTGGAGAAGGAAGACATGCCCAAGTGGGTTAGGAGAAGGTGGCAATGGTTTTTGGAATGCCTGCCTGGCCACGTGCTTCCCACATGCCATCTGTACCAGCATCCTTCCTCCCCAACCCTTGATGCTTGTTAACAATCAGGGGCTGGGTGGTGCCCTTGGCCACTCTCTGAGATGGGATTGTTAATCCTGGTCTTTCATTTCCACCCTTCCGTGGGGAAGTTCTATATAAAAGAGTCAAGTTTGGTGTGTCTAGGGAGCAAGCAAACCCAAGCTCTCTCTCTCAGAAGAGGGTGCATCTCGCACGTACATCTGTGTGCATATGGTCATTACATGTGATGATGTGCCTGCCCCTGCTCCTTTCTGCCTTGCTCCAACAATTCTGTCCCTTTCCTCCCCGCTCCCCCCCCCCCCGCAAAAAAAAGCTACTAGTTTGCAGTGGAGACCTACCTTTTGTCTGAGAAGCACAGCAACATCGCCAGGGTACTTCTTGTCACAGAGCTCCAGGCCACATAGTATGTTACAGACCCACAGTCCCTACCCCCATCTAGTGGACAAAGGCCTGCGTCCAGATGAGCTCTGGGCCTCATTCTCTCACTTAGGAAATGCACCCACCACCCTGCCCCAATCCATATGGGCAGAGGCCCTGGCTATAGGCTCAGACCTCCTAGAAAGGAGAGAGGTGGGAGGCGCTGCCCGAGATGGGGCCTTAGTAGATGTGGCCCCGAGGTTGGCTGTGGGATTGTAGCTCTAATCTCGTCGGATCTGGTGATTTGTTTGTTCTGAACAGCTTCCTAGTGTGGTGAAAAGAGCACCAGCCTGGGAATCCAAAGGCTGGGATTTAAGTCAGGTCTCTAACAGGCTTGCGTTTTTTTGTTTTTCTTCAGTAATGGGAATTGAACTCAGAACCTTTCTGTCACTTGAACTATTTTCCCAGTTCTTTTAAAGCTTTTAGTTTTTTCAGAGAGTATCTCTTGCTACTGTAACTTTGTGGGAGCTAGCTTCATACAGATCCTCCTACCTTTACCTCCTGCGTAGCTAGGACTAGTGGCAAGAACCACCAAATACATCCAGCTCATGGCATGGTTTCTGTGTGGCTACAGAGAACTCACTTTCCTCTCTGGGCCTCCGTGGCTGAATGAGTTAGAATGGGGCTAACAGTATCACAGGCACACCTTTTCGGCAAAGAGCAAATGAAATCAGAAAAACAGTAGGGAATAAACATTGTTTAAAAAAAATTTTCCTTGAGTGTGAACATAAATTTAAGTAGTTATACAAAGGAGCTTTAATTCAACATGTCAGTTCATGAGTAAAATGCATCTTGATCTGTTATTGCCCCTTTCAAGTATTTATATGGTCGGAGCTCTTGACAGGTATAACAGTAAACATTCCTTAATCATCTTAATAAGCATCATGGGAAAATGCTGTTTATCAGGCACTATGCTTAGCACATTCTGAGTACTAACTAGTTCACTCAGTGAAACTGGGACTGCTATTGCTCCCTCCTCATTTCACACATGTTGACACCAGGGTCCAGAAAACCCTACGCATTGACCAAGCTTGTATAGTCTTTTTGTCCCTGCAGATAGTTTCACCGGTTCATTGACCAAGCTTGTGTAGTCTTTTTGTCCCTGCAGATAGTTTCACCGGTTCATGCCTCGCAGGGCTTTGGCATGTCATTTTCCAGAATTCCCGTGTAGCTGTGCCTCTGTGGCACTGGCCAGTCCCAGCCAGCTCTGTGTGCCACGGTCACTGTGAAGCCTGGACCAAATCAGAGCTAGTGAGCCCCTGTAGTGCTCAGCCTCTCTAGGCCCTGGAGCTGTCCACACAAGCCAGGGAAGCCAGTGCTCTGGGTTGTGGAACGGTATCTTCCCAGCCTGGAAGATTCAGGGAGGACCACCGTGTGGCTGAGGTGCAGGTGTGGGAGAGGCCCTCTGGTCTGGGGGTGGGGGTGCAGGGCAGCTGGTCAGGCCTCAGCACATGCCATCAGCCCAGCTGCACCCGCGTCTCCCCGAGCCTCATGTGAAGGCCATGTGTGCACAGCTGGGCCTGGCCATGTACAGGCTGCTCCCTGCCAGGTGGGAGGGGTCCAAGGGAAAGGCTGGCCTGGCTAGGTGGAGGAGGGGAGGGCCTGAGTCCTGGGCCTCAGCCTCCTCACAGGACCTTGGGGCGTCTGGTCTGAGGGTGGATTTCCTTTCTCCTTCCATACCCCTCAGTGTTGATGGGGATGGGGAGCAATGTGGGGGGATCCTCAGCTGCTGCCTCTCCCACAAAGAAGCACCAAACAAATGGGGTCTACGCTGCTCCTAGAGTCTCCCAAGGAGTCCTTTCTGGTTGAACTCAGGGTGATCCTGAGGGGAGCATGGGAATGGAGGCCCCAGCCCAGTACTCGTTACCTTTATTCTCAGATCCCACGGGGTGAAATAACCTGGGGTACCCACATAGCGTTGTGCACCCCCTCAGGTAATAGGAGGCAGACTTCTTGCACTGTGGTCCACTCACGGGAGGTAAGGTTGACAGAGGGCTCTCTCTGTCCATATATTCACAGTCTCCAGGGAGGCTGCTTGTTGGACTCCATTGTGTGGGTACCTTTGCTGGGCCTGTTGCCATTCTGTAGAGCAGACTGCCCATTTAACAGTCAAGGACTGTCTGACTGACTGACTCAAGGTTACCACATGACCAGGAATGGTCCTGGGGTCCTAGCTCTTAAAAATCCAGGTTGTTTTCTGTGTCTATGATTTCACAGCCATGTAGGAGGTTGGAATTTTTTTTTTTTGCCAGTCCTGAGGCTTGAACTTAGGGTCTGGGCACTGTCTCTGAGCTTCTTTTGCTTAAGGCTCACACTCTACCACTTGAGCCACAACAAAACTTCTGGCTTCATGCATGCTAGGCAAGCACTCTACCACTAAGCCACATTCCCAGCCCTGAGGTTGGAATTTTAAAGGAACTACTTGACCAGGGCCTTGAGCAGTTCTGGGTAGGGTGATTTCATCCCAGGAACCCTGTACTCATGGACACTCACAGGATTCTCAGAGAATAGCCAGTGCTCAGTGGTGTGCAGCAGACACAGGGCTCTTGGAGCTCGGTGGGTTGAGGAATCTTGGTAAGCTTCCAGGAGGAAAGACATCTTGGGCTAACTCTGAAGGGCTGGCATGGGAGTGACATAGATTCCAGAGGGCCGAGGGTTCAAGGCTTTTCCTACATGCACTAGTAGGTTCTTGACTTTGTTTCTGGATGGTGCTTTCCCACATTTGCCTGCTGAAGTCCCATTTTGGACAGCAGCTACCTTGCAATTCATTTTATAGATGAGGAAATAGAGGTCCTGTGAGGTAGTGATTCTGCCTAAGGTCACAAGTGTAGCTAGGCAGACAGCCAGGCCCTGGAGGCTGCCAGGCCAATGTTCTTCCTGCTTGCTGGAGCTCAGGGAGGATCCGAAATGTTTTGGAGGCACATAGGACTTTGTGAAAATGCCCAGATCTGCTCCTCTGAATTTTAAAAATCCTCAAGGCAGGTATTTTACTTTCCTACAAGGCAAGCAATCTGAGGAGCAGCAGCAGGCCCCGTGGGCCTGCCTCCTTTGGTGTTTGTGCCTTAACAGAGTTAGCTAGTGACAGCTGTGGGCTCCTCTTAGGCACCAGGTATGTGGATGGGCTGTGGGCCTTTCAGTGGGTGCTTAAAAACGTAATACACAGATCTGAACTCTCAGAACTCTCCATCCCCAGCTGCCCACGGCTTCACCTTCAGCATGTGAAAATGCCCCAGCGGTTCCTTCTGGCCACTTGGAAAGCGCCCGCTAAGCAATGAGTTGAGAACCCATTCTCCTGGGGGTCAAGTAGAAGAGATCATTCCACCCCACTGGGCTGCTAAAAAGACAAGTATGGATGGTGTCTTTGAAATACCACTCTCACCCAGCTTACATGAAAGATGGCCTGGACCCCACGGTCATGGACTATCTGTGCTGCACAGACTCAAACATGGCCGCTTGATGAAGTCTCTGCAGCCTGGGGAGGTCTACAGGCCATGCAGAGGAGCAAGCAGGCTCCAAGAGGTGAAGGCATTTACTCCAAATCACATGGCTGATAAGTGCCTGGAATTTGGACCAACCCTTTCCAGGACCAGAACCTGTCCTGGATTCTTACTTTGCAATGGCAGCCAAGGCAGGTGCTTCCAAGCTGGGCTCTTAGAAGTGGCAAAGAGTTGGGGGAATGGTGACCCTGCATCCTGTGGCGTAGCCACAAGGAGGATTTGGAAGGGGCCAAGTGAGTTTAGAGCTCAACTCTGGGTTTGGGAGAAGGGAGGGGCCACCCCCAAAGAGCCTATTTTGAACCTTTGGTTCTAAGAAACTCAGTACCCTGTGGCATGTGCCTTCCTGGGGTGCCAGTCAGATGAGCTTGTGACTCTTCAGGGCTCAGCTGAGTGGTCAGGGCTCATCTGTTTGTTCCCTCATGTGCAGATGGGGGCATTCATTATTTGGGGACAGGTTTCAAGTGAGACAATGCTACCTGTAGGTAGCGGCCACCATGCAGACATATTTTGGTTCGCGCTGAAGCATAACAGAAGCAGTGGGCCAAAAAGCAATACATCTGCTACAAAACTGGCCCAGACACCTGCCTGGGGCCTGGGTCAGCCTTGGTCTCACCTGTTGCTCTGTTGTTTGGCAATGACCTTGAGTCATGGCACACACACACACACCCCTCCTCTGCACCTCCCCCTTCCCCTTCTTCCTGGAAACCCAGATGTTCTGGGGCCCAGGTGCACCGAGCTGACTAAGGGAAACTCCCAGTGGCTTCTGGGTGACAACAGGGTTGTGTCACAGAGCTGCATGTGTCCAGTCCCTAGAACTCCCTTTCCCTGCAGTCAGGCAGCCTGCCCCCTGCTGAAGAGCAGGCAGAGGTGCTGAGCTGGCCCCGGAGCCCCCTTCTCTGCCCCAGGACTGCCAGATCTTGTTTATTTGTTCAAGCTGATGATAAAGCAGGATTTTCTGGACTCTGGCTGGGAACAAGCAAAGCGCATTGTTCTGCCAGCTTTTCTTGGATGGCTTTGGAGCTGTGGGCAGGGTGGGGTTAGAGATGGGGGCTGCAGGGGAGTTTGATTTCTCTCTACTGCCTTCCTCCCCCTCCCTGGGTTTCCTAGTCTCGAGGGGGGCCTTGGGGGCCGGGGGATAGGCAGGCTCCACACTTCCTGTTTCTCACCCTGTCCATCTGTGATACCCACCATAATCTTTTTGTAAGGCCAATGTCATCTCACTGAATCCTTGCTACCTCTTGAAGACAGTCCTGTTGGCAATGTGATGGAGAAACCAAGGTTCAGAAGTGTATGCTGCTGGCCTAAAGCCTTACAGCTAAGCGGAGCTAGAGCTAGGAATTGAACCGGATGACAGAAAGATTGACTTTGGCACCTCGGAGAGATAAAAGATTTTTAAGCCCCATTCTTCACATTATAGATAGCCCTGCTGAATGTAGGGGGAGATCATTCACTTGCCCACTCAGTGCCTTTCTCAGTCAGCCCTTCCAGGGCCTACTGTGGGCTGGACCTGGCCAGGTTTGTGCACGGATCGTCTCCCTGGCATGTGGGGTCATTGACTGCTAATGGGGACTTAAAGACAGATGGGTGTCATTAGAGAACCATTAAGGTTAGACCACCTCCTAGGTGTGGGGTGGCTGTGGAGAGATCGGGGAAGTTTCTAGCCAATCATAGGTTAAAGTGAATAAGATGTAGGGTCCCAGCCTGAGGTGACTATTTTTTAATTTTTATTATTTATTTATTTAGTCTGTCATGGGGCTTGAACTCTGGGCTTGGGCGCTGTCCCTGAGCTCTTTGGCTCAAGGCAAACAATCTACCACTTGGAGCCACAGCACCATTTCCAGTTTTCTAGTGGTTTATTGGTGATAAGAGTCTCACAGCCTTTCCTGCCCAGGCTGGCTTTGAAATGTGATCCTTAGATCTCAGCCTCCTGAGTAGCTAGGATTACAGATGTGAGCCACCAGTGCCTGGCTTCTGAGTGACTATTTTGTTCATGCTTAACTCCATGGCTTGGAATAGAGACTTAAAAACAATTCCTGGACACTATTGAGAGTTTGGTCCAAGGAATTCTTTGTTGTGGGGCACTGTTTGATCCTGTATGATACAGGATACTTAGCTACATCCCCAGACATCCAGGTCCTGTGGTTCCCCTGTGGTGACAAGAATGTTCCAGACATTGCCTTCGTCTCTTCAGGGACAAGATTATCTCTGATTGGACACCACTAGCCTCAAAGAGTGCCTGGCATATGGAATGCTCCTCAAATTCTAATGTGTGTGCACTGTGTGGGCCCCACTGTAGAATGGGTACAGAGGAGTCAGTGATAATGGATGCTGTGCGTAGATCCTAAGAGCCATGGGTGGATGGGGGGCACTGGAGCGTTGGTTGTTGGTAGGAGCATTTTAGCTATTTGGCTGAAGAGTGCTTCCTAGGACCCTCATGTCTATTGCTTAGCACTGGCCAGCTAGATTTTGAAGAGTTACTTCCATGTTGTAACATCTCACTCCATTCAAGTGTGCAGTGGCTCTCTAGCTTTTCGTTCATGCAGTACATGCTGCCATGGTTGAGAAATTCGAAGCTTTGAGCTGGGCATTGGTGGCTGGTGCCTGTTGTCCTAGCTACTCAGAATGCTGAGATCTGAGGATTGAGGTTCAAAACGAGCCCAGGTAGGAAAGTCTATGAGATTCTTATCTCCAATTAATTACCACAAAGCCAGCAGAGGAACTTTGACTCAAGTGGTAGAGTGCTAGCCTTGAGCAAGGTATCCTTGAGTTAAGGACCAGTGCCCAGGCCCAGAGTTAAAGCCATAATACTGGTGCATCTGTACACACACACACACACACACACACACACACACACAAACACACACACACGTGTCTTTCCCTGCAGAATGGGAATGTAGATAGATTCCTGAGTATGAGTGGATGACTTGAGATGTGGGTGCAAGCAGCAGGTTGTCCAATCAGGTGGAGGGCCCAGATATGCCTTAGGCCATCTCCATGACCCCTGCCCAACCTAGGTGGGTGTGGAGCACATACTCAGCACAGAGGTTATGCACATTCCCTGTTGATGCCTCCTTCTTGCCTTCCCCAGGTGCCATGCTACTCATATGGGCAGAAGCTGTCCAAACTGGCCATCCTGCGGATTGCCTGTAACTACATCCTATCTCTGGCACGACTGGCTGACCTCGACTACAGTGCTGACCACAGCAACCTCAGCTTCTCAGAGTGTGTGCAGCGCTGCACCCGTACCCTGCAGGCTGAGGGACGTGCCAAGAAACGCAAGGTAGGTACCAGTACTGGGGCAGCAGTCTCCAGGGAGGACAGGGGAGACAGCCTGTCTGGAAGCACCCCACATGTGCCCAAGACTCCTGAAGTGCCAGAGATAGCCTCTTAGAATAATCTTGGGGTCACCTCCGTTTCAGGACTCCATGCATCCCAGTGATCACTGTGATACCCATTGTCTCTGGTAATGGCACTTCTGGTGACCTTGTACATTCATCCAAGGTTGCTGAGTGTGAGTTTGTGCATCACTGAAATGAGGAAAGTTTATCCCAAGCCCTTGCTGGCCTTATGTGCTCTGGTACTGGACTCACGTGGGACATGATTCGTCAGAGCAGGTGACCACCTTGTAGAAGCCTTCTGCAGGTTTTGGGAATGTGACCTGGCCTGTATCCGAGGGTGGATATTACAATAAATGATATTCAGTTATTTATTCTAGCGAGATTTATTGAGCAAGCTGGACAGGGGTATAATGAGGGCGTATAGCTTGTCGTGGTCCCCCTGCAGCTAACAGGATGGTTAGAAGGTGCTATGGCTTGTCCTCAAATTAGGGGAAGACCAGATACCATAGGATAACTAGGAGGCCACTAGGCAGACAAAACAGAAAAGCTTCAGAGGCAGAGGGGAAGACCTATACAAAGTTGTATTGGGAAATCTGTGCAGGGAGAAAGGCGTGAGGCACATCCACAGTTTTCCAGATGGCCATTGCTTTGAACATTTCCAGTCAGGGGTCAGTGCTGAGCAAAGATTATTGTAGTTGTCTGGATCTCTGTTCCCATGTCACTGGAGGGAGAAAAGCAGTAGAACCCAGTCTATATCTATGAGGAGATGCCCAGGGGCTCTGTAAACAGGAGGGCATCCAGATAGTGGGGTGGCTCTGGCATCATGTAGTCTTTTGGCCATCTCTTTCCTTCCTGGCTTGCCCCTGCCTCCAGGCCCCTTTCAGCCAGGGCCCTCTGTGGATTCCCCAGGTTTTCCCAGAGGCTTCTGGGCCCCCAGCCTCAAGGGTTTCTGTGGACTTCCTGGCTCCTCCTCACCACTAGCCTGTTGCATTTCTGGGAGTGATTTAACATGGACCAATTAGGAGAAATCCTCATCAAGTGGGTAAGAGAGGAAGCGCCACTGGCTGCTTTGGGGCCCCTGCTTTCCTCTTAAGAGTGACATGGGTAAATGAAGGCGTGATTGATGGCTCCATGCCGGGCTCTGTGACAAAGGAGGTTTGTAAACTCTCAGTGAACTCCCCTGGCATTCAGCATCGTACTCCCCTGGAGGTGGTGCGGATGGCAGCATGGGCAGGCGCAGTGTTCTCCAGCCTGACCCCTCGCCCTGCCTTTCCCCTCCTCCCACCCTGCCCCTCCTTTTCACCCCCGAAAGGCAGCACTGTCTTCTGCTGTTCCCTTGATTGGAGTAGACAGTGTCCTGGGCTAGGAGGAGGTAGGCCTGAGAGGAAAGGGAAGATGAGCAGGGTAAAGCTGCCAAGTAAAGCTGAAGTTTTGCCTCCCCCCCCCCCAAATTACCTCAAATCTAAGCAACCTTAGGGACAGATGGGAGACTGAGATTGTGATTAAAATTAGCAAACACCTCTGGGTTTGAGTCCTGACTGTCACCTATTGGATTAATCCATTTCCTAATGTCCAGTGATTCCATCCTGATTGGTAAAGAGACATGGCAGGAACAAGTCCTCATGAGACGTGGGACACACATCTCACAGGAAGGGAGCTCCTTCCCACTGCTGTTCTGCGCTCAAAATCATGAGTCCCTCGTTTCTATCCTGAATATAAAGCTCACCCTACAGGGTCTACTTAACTGAGGAAGCTGCCTAGGAGTGGGGTGTTGGGAGTCTAGGTGGAAGTTCAAAGGGGAAATGTGTCTCTTTTCCTCTCATCCTCTCTCTTCCTCCCCTTCCTTCACCTCTCTACCTAACCAGGCCTGAATTAGGGCCAGGGGCCGGACCAGGCCCTAGGTCTTTCCGATGTGCTTCCCTCAGCCTTCCAGTTGTAGGAAGTAAGGGCCATTTGTTTTTGCTATAATGAATTTCATAATGACCTTCAGAGTGACACATTTTCTCTGAAATCTCCAGAGACCTCTGCTGACCTTGATTCTCCCTTTGGGGACCTGTCTTTGTAATTCAGTCCTCAGCCTCCACACCGTTTCAGGAGTTTCAGCTGGATAATCAAGATTTGATCCTTTGGCCTTCCAAACTTTGGACCATTGGTTTCAGATTTCTTTTCATCACAGGATCCTGGTGTCCTTTGGAGCCCTTGGGTTCCCTGACATTCTTTTTTATTCCTGGGGACCCCTCCCCCACAAAAAAATCTGGGCACCTTAGCTTTTAGTTTCTGATAATCATCCTCTGTTCCATTGAATGTCTGGCCCTCACTCCCTTCTTTCCTTTTGCCCTTGGTTGGGCCGTGTGGCACCATAGCGAAGCCCAGTAGGGATGGTTAGAGTCTCTGGGTGGACTTTTTGCTATGGGTGATGTCTTGATTGGCCCTTGAGGCTGGGGTGGAAAGGGGGCTGGAGTCCCAAGAAAGATGTTCATAACTATGCGCCTGGGCACTGTCCCTCAGCTCTTCAGCTCAAGGCTAGCGCTGTATCATAGAGCCACTTTTGGCTTTTTCTGCTTATGTGGTGCTGAGGAATCAAACCCAGGGCCTCATGCATGCAAGGCAAGCGCTCTACCACTGAGCCACCTTCCCAGCCTCTGTTCATAACTTATAGTGGGGGGAGGGGACTGCCCTTCCCTTTTTGACTGGGGGGCTTCTGATGACCTGAGCAGGGAGCACATCTTTAAATGTGTCCTGGCATAGGAACAGCAGCCTTCTTTGATTCTTCCGTAGCCTCTTAGCCTGGGCCTCCAAGGCCACACCTTTGTCTACTAAAATTCTGCTTAAGAAGCCAGTATTTGTTGACTTCTCTGGTCAGGACTGTGAAGGTGTAGCAGTGGGCCATTCTGGTGTTGTATTGATGGGAAGAGGTGATTGAAGTCCGACTCTGACTGTAGGACTCAGCCCTGCCATAGCCACAGGCTGTGGCTCAGGCAAGGTCTAGAGAAGGCCTGGGAGCTTATGGCAGCTGCGGGGCCCCAGAATCCTCACCTCCACTTCCTTACCAGATGTCCACCCCTTACATGACCACTACATGGGTCTCCAAACAAGAGATGGGGAGGGGGGTGCCTTAAAGCTCTCCTCAGCATCTCTACCTCTCTCCAGCCCTCTGTGACAGCTGACAAGCACCCTCTTCATGCAAGGCCTGGTGTAAGTAGTATAAGTCCAAAGTAGTTCACTGAATAGACCCTGCCACTCAGTGACAACTGAATACCCACACAAGGAGGAAAAGTCCTTGCTTTTCTCACAAGCCCTCACCATTAGGTACCCTTAGGAATTCATGGATTTGTGGGGGCCAAGCAGGGCAGGAGGGCTGGACTGATTATCTAGAACCTTGCTCTGGGGCATGAGGAGGTGGGAGAGGTGACACTTCGAACCTTCCATCCATGGGTCTGCTCCACCCTTTCTGTTTCTGGAGTAGCACAGAGTCTCTATGTCATTACCCTGAGCTTGCTGTTGGCAGCACCTTTGGGAAGCGCCTAGGACAGGGTGCTTGGGTTCCACTGGAGGTCTGAGTCACATTTTGAATCAAGGAGTTTCTCTGTGGGACTTTCCACTTGATTTTAGGTCACTGTTCTCCTAGAAGCTTAGAGCTGTTTTTGTTGTTGTTGTTGTTTCCTGTTCTTCCCTAGCAAACAAGCTGACCACCTCAGGCCTGCTTACTCCCCAAACCCTTTCTACCTAGACTGAGCCCTTGTGGTGTTGGTAGGCCTTCCACAGGTCTGCTGGGGTTACCAAGATCCTGAGGTGAATGGCAGGCAGTAGCTTCACTATTACACTCTGTCTTAGTCTATGTGGTATTTTTTGCTTCACTAAACATCACGGCTGGGTAATTTATAAAGAGCAGAAGTTTATTTAGCTTGTGGTTCTGGGTTGGGAAGTCCCAAGAGTGCACCACTGGTGTCTGATGAGGGCCTTTTTGCTACTTCAAGGCCTAGTGGAAGGGTGTCACACAGCCTGGCTAAAAGCATTAGACAGGGCCTCTCTACGTGTTACAGAGCCACTGCTGAGGACCCCACCCTGAGGACCTCATCTCACCTGATTATCTCCCGAAGGCTTCATCTCCAAATCTAACTCCACAGCTCCCTCCTGACAGCTCAGCTGCATTTTGACTGGGGTTCAAGGCCTCATGTTGAAAGCAGAGCTCTGAGGATAGGAGGCTGGAACAGAGGTTAGGCAGCTGGGTCTGTGGGCAGACGTCTGCTCCTGCCTCTTTGCTGGTCCTGGCAACGTGACTGATGGCAGTTTGAGTTCTCTCATTCCGGAATTGCTCCGGAGAAGCTGAGTGATCCTTTTTCAGGAAAGCCTCTGAGATGTTGTGCCTGGGATCACCTGCAATCGCTGGCTGATCCCTGGAGCTCCCCTGTACCTCTGGGCTGTGCTAAGAACGGGACTGACAATGAACTTCCTGACTTTCCCAGACACATTGCCTGCCCATCTCAGCCCCAGCTGTGACCAGTGAGTTCCCCCTTTCTGGGCTTCAGAAAGCCAGGATACTGATGCTATTCAGATAGTTCGTTGTCAGAGGCCACCCAGCAAAGAAACAGGGCAAGAGGCAAGAAGGTTCTGAAGAAAGCAGTCTGGACTCTATTGCAGCCAGAGATAAAGCAGTTAAGCTCCTGGCCCTGGGCCACATTTCAGTAGCTCCTGTTTTTAAAGCAGCAACTCCTGGAAGCTTCTGAAGGGAGAAAGGGCAGGGGGAGGTGCAGGACTATTCTTCCACATCTGGGTAAAGGGGGTCTTGCTAGACCTGGGAAATAGGAGACAACCAATAGTCTACAATCTAGGTCCCCCTCCCTTTTTATAGTGACTTGAAGCCATTGAGTAGCAGCAGCAGCAGCTACTACTAAAACTGATGGGTGATACCAGTGCTTTAAAGACACAAGTCCCTGCCCTC